GTGTAAGTGTGTGTGTATGTGTGTGTGTGTGTGTGTGATTGTGGTGTGTTTACTTTCCTCTTGCCAAAAAACTTTTTACAATAGTTTACCCATTCACCCAATTCTGACTGACTGACTGAGAAATAAGCTTTTTCGTTTGTGCGTTCGTTCGTTCATTCGCTTGTTCGTTCGTTCGTTCGTTTGTTTGTTTGTTCTTATATTCATCTTTTTCATTCTCTTTCTCTCTTTATTCCTTTCTCTCTCTCTCTCTCTCTCTCTCTCTCTCTCTCTCTCTCTCTCTCTTTTTCACACACACACACACACTCACACATTTGCACGCATCGACATACATGCATTCATCAATAAACATTCCACACGATCTATTCATTTATTTTATTACTTTTTCGTTTGTTTGTTCATTCATCCATCTATCCATACATCCATCCATCCATCCATTCATTTATTCATTCATCCATCCATTCATTCATTCATTCATTCATCCACTCATCCATCCATTCATTCATCTATCATTCATCTATCATTCATTCTATCTTCTCGCTCATTTCTAATTCTAGGAATCTCTATTCAAATCGGTTGATTCGAACGAGGGTGAAGCTGATGACGACGATGACGACGACAGAAACGATGCTGGCGACGATGGCCATATCGACGGGGAAGCGTCTACTGTGACGTCATCGGCGACAAGTGTCATGGCGACGCCACAGTTTATTGACACACTGAAAAGGTTGTTTGTCTTAGCAAAAAAAGAAACCATTGTGGCTGCTCTTGTAATGTAACTGCTGATGATTTCAATTATTATTTGTATTATTATTATTATTATTATTATTGCTCTGCTATTGTTATTATTATCATTATTATTATTATAATAATGATAATTATTATTATTATTACTTCATTATGGTCATGTGGTTGTTATTATCATCGTCATGGAATCTAAAACTTCGTGCATATGATCTCGACAAATAATAATAATAATAATTTTATTATTATTATTGTTTTTATTATTAATAATAATAAAAATATCAGTAGCAATAATAATAATAATAATAATAGTAATTGTTGTTATGGCCTTTAAATTAATCATAGTAACGACAACATTAATGATAATAGATACGGTGATGATAATATTATATGGCTAATACTAGTAATTATCAAAGTATAAATATCAATAATAGTAACAATACTACTACTGCTGCTACTATTGCTGCTGCTATCACTACTACTACTAACAACAACAATAATAATAATAATAATAATAATAATA